AGTCCTTGGACGACAAAGTGGGTTCGAGAGGAGCACTCTTCAAACTGACTTTGACGGGCTACGGATACACGTTTGCAGCCAAGGGCACCGTCTCCGTCTTTGTCGGCGCCCTGCAGCACGAGGCTCGCGTCTACCAACGGCTCAACAGGCTCCAGGGTGAAGTGGTGCCGGTGCATCTAGGAAACATCGACCTCGTGAACGCGTACTGTCAGGATATTGACGTATGGATCGTGCACATGATGCTCATGTCATGGGCCGGCGAGGATGCCGAGACGGCAGGCCCGCCTAACTTAGAGCAGGAGGCGCAGCGGTCGTGGGCAGAGGTGCGCGCGGAGGGCGTCGTGCATGGCGACGAACGCTACGCCAACCTACTGTGGAATGCTGAGCGGCAGCGTGCCATGGTCATCGACTTCGACCGCTCCATCCTCCTCTCCGCCGCTAAGCACAAGCAGGTCATGCTGCTCGCCGGTAAGAAAAGAAAACGATGTGAGGAAGGGTCCCGAAAGTTTAGTTGGAAGGATATAGTGTTCTCCAAGGACCAGTCTAGCTCTGTTACAACCAACTTATGATTAGGTACATAAAATACCTTATGGCTGAATTAAAGGAAGTAATGTTTTATACTCTATATAAATTATATTTAAAACTTATAGTAGATAGTAATACCTGCAGATTGTTAGGAATACTTTCCCAATACTGACTAGCCTCACTAATGTAAGCCACTTCGGAAGGGTTTAGCTTCCTAGAGTAAAGGAACAAGATATAACAAGAGCTTATTATGGAAGGAATATAATAAGATAGTTATGTTATGATTTAGAATAGTCTGAGCTTCAAGAGTATAGGAATGTATTCAAACTAACTACTAGATAAACTAGACAGTTGAATCACAGAGAGCCGTAGCGAAGGCGAGACAAGACATATTTATAGACATATGAAACCTGGCGCTCATTCTGATCATGAATGATCAGACTGATCGCAGACTGTATTCCTGATTCGTCCAATCCTTCCGGGCGAATCACAACCTTTCACTTATGCAAACCGATCATCTTGATCATGAATGATCAACATGATCGTTTTCCTTTCACGTGATTCCCATGTTACTTCGTAACATCATTGTCAATGTCTGTGCGGAAGATCACGGGAGCGATGAATGGTGCATAAGTGAGATCGTAAACCTGCTTAGTTCATTGTATGCTGTCTTGACTGATGGATTGTATGGTTGTTCTCCTGTCCCCTACCCCTTGACTTGACTTGACTTGAATTCCTAACGTGTTTCACAAGCTAGTGCGCGACCCAAGCTAGTGCGCGACTTTTTACACCTTAAAATATTTAAATTAAAATATTGTCGTACAACAGCATATTATTAATTAAATAATTATCTAAGCTAAAATCTATTATATAGAACATGTACGAGCAGTATGCTCAAGTGATCCACAGAGGCTGCATTTTGGTGGAGCACGTGTTTTTGGTCGTGGATCTATCGTATGAGCGCCACCTTGCTGTACTTCAATCTGGATTTAACGCTCTATCTCACGCTCGTACACCTTATTCTGACCATCTTTAATAGCTAAGGTACCTCCAGTTTGAACCCTCGTACGACAAACTGCTCGCTTTCGTTTTTGACATTGATTTTCAGCTCGGAGTGCGGCATTCTTAACCTGCAGTATAGCTCGTTCATGTACAACAGTCTCAAAGCCTTTCAACAGCTGTTGAAAAGCAGAATCAGATAGTGAATGAGGCGCATTCGTACGGCGCCGACGCTGCTCTTGAATATGCTGTCCTTGACGCTTGATTTCCTGTATCGTACGAGGCGTTTTTGACTCCCATACTGATACCTCAGTAGGAACAGGGCTGGGCGTTCGTACGACCGGATTAAGGGTAGAAAAAACGTGATCTGGGTTGAAAGGAACAAGGCCAGTTACTATAAATCCACTCCGGATATTCTTTTCAGTTATTGCTTATGCGTGAGCTGGATAGTAGAGGTGTAAGAACTCCTCTTTATCAATATGGTTGATGCCAAGCCTCATTTTGCCTTCTACTTACTTGCCGTACGATGCCTTTAACGGGCCAAAACAACCTACATCCAATGGCTGAAGGATGTGAGAAGAATGAGCAGGCATACAGGCTATAATAATCTGATTCTGCTTGCAAAACTCTTCAAATTGGGCTGAATAATAGCTTCTATGTCCGTCTAGTACGAGCAATCAGTATTGGCCTTTCGTACGATGCTGAGTGTGCTTATGGAAGTGCTGGATCCATTCAAATCCGATCTCATCGTCCGTCCACCCTTTCTCACTTACAGAGATAGCCCAATCACGCGGTAGATTGCTCTCTGTATACCAGGTACTTTAATAAAGCTTCGCCGCGAGGATGATATGTGCGGGGATTGACCACCCTTGTGAATTAATTCCATGTACGATAGTAACCCATTCTCAATTGCCTGGCTGTTTTGTCTTCGGACGACCCTTTCTCTCAGCTCTTGTAACCACTTTTGAGGTTAAGATAACCCCTATCTGAAAGCCAGTCTCGTCAAAATTATAGATATCTTCTTCAAGTATACCGTACTTCGCGATCAGGTTTCGTGCGACGCTGAACCAGCCCTGAATGAGTACTGGATCCTCGCATTTTGCGCGCTGGTAATCATATTTTCGGTTATACATCGTACGGAGCGAGTCGTGGCGGTTAACAAAGTTGGTAGCCCAATTCTTGCCGACTGTTTGTGGGATAGACGCGTCGCGGTTCGTGAGGATGATATTCGCGATTTCTCGTACGATAGCTATTTGGGGTGAGAATCCTTGAGCATCAAGGTCAAAAATACGTTGTAGAAGGATATCCTCCTCAAGAGGAGTTAGTTTTTGTGTCGTACGATGGGAATCGCGCCGAGAGAGTGTACCATAATAGCGTCTAGCTAGAGTATCTTTAGGTACATCGTACGCACGTGATGCAGCGTGTAAACTCTTAAATTGACCTGAATTAAATGCTTAAATAGCTAATAAAATACAACCTTCTTTTTGAGAGTCGTACGAGGATTGCATTGTTATTAAAAAGAATTAATTGAGAGTACGCGATAGAATGCGAAGTCGCGCACTAGCTTGGGTCGCGCACTAGCTTGGGTCGCGCACTAGCTTGTGAAACACGTTACTCGGTTTTGGACGCTCTTAGTCAGCAGCTATGCCCGGTCAGGCAGACTTCGCCAGACAGCCGACACGTGATATGTCGATGTCTGTGCGGAAGATCACGGGAGCGATGAATGGTGCATAAGTGAGATCGTAAACCTGCTTAGTTCATTGTATCCTGTGTAAAAAAAGTACAACAACAGCGAGAACTCTCACTCTTGGAATAAAGAGCTCAATTGTGTTCACATACACCCCCTGAAGACCGGAAACTGCTTTATCGGAAGCCGCACCGCCCAACGCGG